TTTTTTTTTTTTTGTTTTTTTTTTATTTTTTTTATATTTTTTTTTTTTTTTTTTGTGTCTTTTTTTTTTTTTTTTTTTTTTTGTAGATTAGTAGCATCCATATAATTTTTGTATGCATTCCTATACCATTCATCAGATTGTGATAAACCTTTGGTGAATTGATGTGAGGACGGTCATAACGGTTTCTGATTCAGTACATTCAATTAAAAATATTTCATTTTGGGCCTGGTGCCATAAAAGGTTGGGGATTTTTTGGATATGGGTTATATAAATAAAATTTCAAACATATCTAATGGATTGGGTGGCCCTCAATACGTTTTTTTCCTATTTGAGCTATATTAAATTAAATATAATTTGTGTATGTGTTTCGATACCATTCATCCGATTGCGATAAACATTTGTTAAGGTTTTGTGAACATTCCCACAAAGGTTTCTGAATTATTACAAACTTTTTAAATATTTCGTTTTTGCCCTTTATTCTTTTTAATTTTTTTTAAATTTGAGCTACAAAAATAATATTTTAATTACAGCTATTGCATGGGTGGATCATTCGCTACATTTATATGGATTACATTTCAACATCCATGTTTCTCACATTGACTGCTGACACCTCGAAAAACTTTCTAATTTATTCGTCTATGCACCAGACGGAAAAACAAAAAAAATATTGTCTATATAAAATGACACAAATCACATCCTAATAGCATTTAGTCAAATTGGAACCGGAAACGCATCTCCGCCATTTGGACCCGGGTCCCATTAGACACAGTACCATTCGGTCGTCATTTTTTGGTAGTTTATTTTAGTTAAACTGAAGAATTAAGTTTACAAATATATAGTCCATTCAATTATCTTTCATTTGATACCAAATTTTGTCTTACAATCGAACAATAATATTTTTTTTTAAATTTTAATCCTAACCTCTAACTTCTCGGACCCGGGTCCTAAAAGCAGCTTCGCTCAAAAATTGTCCGTGATTGTCTGTTTTTCCTGTCACCTCTCTGAACTTAGAATTACACTGAAGCTCAATCAGCTCCATTTGAAGCGCAAAAAGAGGGGTGGGGTGAATCTTCCATATTAAAAGAGAAAGGGTCAGCAAAAAGTTGAAAAGTGGCTCTGTGTTTTTGAAGTCTAAAAACATATGATCAGCTTCTTCCGGTAGCTTTACAATGGCATCAGTATACTTACTACTGCATTGTGTGCCAGAGTCCATGAGTATTTTGCATGTTTGGACATGGAAAAGCTTTCTCTAAGAGTTATAATACAAGTTTTGTACACAATGCCCCTGACATTGTCATAGGCAACACTGACAAGCTACCCCTAGTCTTGTAACTTCTTGTTGAGTACATTCAGCTCCTGTGTAATGTCAGCAAGAAAAGCCAATTCCATAAGCCATTTTGGATCACTTAGTACAGGAACAACCACCCCGTCCTACACCGGGAAGGCTTTAAATTCTAAAACGTGAGCAAACAGTAGGCAGGAGCAGGCAATATTTATGAATTATTGATTCAAAAGAAGAGAGAATGAATTTTTTTTTATATCGTATAAAGGTCTTTTGGACTAAACCTGTTTTGAAAGTGGCAAGCTGACAGGCTCAGAATTTCCCTCACTCGTAAACACTAGCGGCAATTTTAATAGGGATTCTTTGAAACTGTGTCAGAATGCTATGATTTACACAAATATGGTTGTGTATTACGCACCAAATGACTTTTTAAGACTTTTATCAAATATGAACACTGGTCATGTTTGTCTCATAAAATGCTATAAAATAAAAACTGTTAGTCTGATTTTAAAACGGTTTTTACCATTATAATCAACATACAAATCTAAACAAACATAATAAAAATCAAAATTAAACTAGTCGCATTAACATTAAACATTGCTGTCATGTAGTGGGCCGCAATATTTCGTCTTGCGGGCCGAAAATGGCACGCGGGCCGCGTGTTTGAGACCCCTGGTCTAGATCCTACTGCAGCCCCTTCCTTTAGATCAAAAGCAAGCATGGCATTCTGAGACTACAGCTCTGCTTGTAAGTCTCGTACGTTGACCAAGATGAGGAGGCAGCTCAAGGCTGATTCCTACGGGAGTCCATCCTTAAATGCATAGATTTTTGATACCGTATCCACTATCTGCGTTCGATTTTTTTGGAATTTAAGGTAGGCTAAATCCATTCTTACATGTTTTTAGTGATACCTATATGCTGCAATTTATACACGAGGCCCGTGCATCACACTTTTTCATACGCCTGCTGGAGGTCCAAGGATACAGCTGAGATGTGATTTCTCTTCTGAATCTCGTTTGTAACGGTTTGGACTCAGCGTATATCTCTGTCCATCTGCTGGCTTCCCTTCCAGAAGCCGCCTTGCGTCAGAGGTAGCACTTACTCTGCTTTAAAAACCAGTGGAGTCATGCTTTGACCATCTGCTCGGAAATTTTTCCCAAACACGATGTTAAAGATATCGGATAAAAGCTTATCGGAAGAGTGCGTGGATTGCCCCCTTTGGTAGTTGAGATTAATGTTGGCTTTTCCACGCCTTCGATAGGGTGCTTGTGTTCCATGTTCTTTTTATGATGCCAGCATTTTTCGTTTCACTTCTCTACCCAGGTTGGTGATAATTTCTTTGTTGATTTTTTTCTTGATCTGGTGCTTTGGTTGACTTGCACATTTCTATTGCCTCTCAAAATTTATGCAAATTGAAAGGAAACGTAAACATTTCTTTGTGGGGACTCATTCGCTGGGCTTCACAGACGAGTAATAATTCCGCTTTTGTCATTCTATCTGGTTTTCAAATTCTATTTTGCAAAGTGTTTGTTGAGTGTATGTGCGGGCTTGGCACCACCTGCCTCAGTGACATTTACCGTTGTCAGTGGACTTTAGTTTTTTTTTACGCTAACCCATTCGAGAAAGATTATCCATGAGTCAACAAAAAGGTTTGTTTAACATATGTAGCATTAAATTGTGTGTACATTACAAGGTGGTTAACTCCACATCGAAAAATATGAATTTTTTTCAAGAGTTAAAGATGTATTTTCTTTGTTCTTAATGATCAAGACAAAATTTAAATGTGTTTCTTTAAATTAGTATGCTAGTCCACCTATGTCGTGACATGTTATTCGAGAAATGCATGGGATTATTTTATACATTTGTTTCTTATACATAACACAAACATAACTTCTACTTTTAAATTTCAGTATGAAACAAAATTGTCATGCATCTTTTCTCAAAAAAAAGTAGCGTACTGTTTTACAACCGCCATACGTCATCTTCAAGACGTGAAGGCCAGTCCGTGTTCACAGCGCCGCTTCAGTGGTAATATGCGCCCGGCCAAGTAAATGTGGTTCAAACATTGCTTTTATACAAGGCCCAGCTCGACAAGTTAACCAAACAGAGATGTTTAAAAGGACGGGTCTTGCTGGCTTGTATCAATAGAGCACGTCTTTATTAGCATGTTTGATTAGGGGCAAAAGTGGGAATTTTAGGATTGGGAACTTTACTCATTTAAATTCAATGTGGAAAGGTAAACCAGAGTCGGATTCAGTGGATGGGTGCGGAGGAAAAAGACGAGTGTCCTAGTACCTTTCGTTTTGATAGGATTTACGCTTCTGGTAAAGAAAGCATAATTTTTGTAAGGATGTTAAAATAAATGTTCACCCTGCTCATTCAACACATACACATTTTTAATTTGTGAACAGTCGATGTTTTACTTTTTAATATGCCCCTGGCGTCATGAAATGTATCAACAATTTACCAAGGTTATTTGTGGACTTCAGATTATTCAGTGATAAGAAAGTTCAGCTTCACACTTGGTGAGTCTTGTTCTAATTTTAAAATTATCAGGTAATTAACTCATCTTCTCTGGAAGTACGAGATTTGTATCGTATACATATTTATATTAGTCATAAATCAGTGCAGGACATTTAGTTACATACAGTTAGCATGTGTTTAATTAAATTGTTATATAATATAGGCTTTTATTTTGTCAAACAATTATTTAGATGTCTTTTTTTTTCTTAATTTTTTTCACATAAGAATTTAAAACAATTCTGTTAAAATTGACGTTATCTTTATCTAACATTTGACATGAAATTATTCTTTGGATCTGAGTGTGCTCCATATAATGTTATACCTAAATCTAGGATCTACCTCTTAACGTTGCAACCGAACGAAGTAATTGTGCCATTGAGATCACAGGCTCAATGACCCACTCAGTCAAATGTAAGTCCATTTTAATTGTGATTCTTATCTTTGTGATAAATGTAATATCCTTTGTATAGATACTTTATTATATGAACATGTTTTGAAGAAGTATGACGGTTTAAACAATAACAAGAGCTCTGATCTGAAAAAGAAAGCTGGCCACCATGCCTAATAAATAGACCTGATCAGTTGGAGGAAGTTCTCATAGCATCTAGACAAGTTTACTGATCGATCACCTGCATCTAAAAATTCACTTAGAGATTATCTGTCATATAAAAAAGTTTACTTAGAGATCCACTCTCATCTAAACAAGTTTGCTGAGAGATGGCCTGTCATCTATACAAGTTAACTTATAGATCTACTGTAATCCAGATAAGTTTATTAAGAGCAATCATGTCATCTAGACAAGTTTACTTTTGAAATGATTCCTCTAAATTTGACATGTATAATTATGAAGAATTTTCACAATCTACACGTTTTACATACATGGTTAGACCTATTTATATTAAAACTTCTCTGGATACAAATAATGTCTTTCTTTTGTCCAAACTATCCAAGTTTCTTTATTATTTTAAAATATACTATTGGTATTATTTTTTTTTATAATTGATTAACTGGTTTCAGGTAGTCATTGACAAAGACAAACACAAGTCTAGTGAAGAGATTTGGTAAAGTAAAAACATGATGTTGATGGTTCTTGTCGTGTGCTCTTTCCCTGGTCTGGTGACTGCCGTCTCACCCTCAGCAACTGTTTTCTCCCTCAGATACGTCAACAATAACAATAAAACATTTAACATGAACTTCAACTTCACCTCATTTTCTGAGTAAGTACCATTGTGTTTATTGCATTACGTTATGAAAAATAAATATAATACATACAATTTAATCAACAGGCGCATAGTATTTCATATGTATATGTCAGCGTGAAAATGTGTTTGTCTGTTTATTTATTAGTTCCACAAAGGCTTTTACATGGATTGGTGGATATGGATCCAACTTGGCACATGTATCAATTTATATCTAGAATCAAATACTAAGGTGAAAGGGGGGGAGGTAAGAACTTTTTATAAAGTTCCGTTTGAGGCCAAGGGCCCTGATATTTTTTTTCTTTTATTGGCTATATAAATAAAATGACCAACGAATACTTCTACATGAATTGATGGATATTGACAGACCTCAATGCACGTATACTACATTATCCATATTCAAATACCGAAGTACTGGACTCATAATATCCATTCCTTTGGGGTCGGGTCCCCATTTAATTATTCCTTATATCAGATATATATATATCAATAGGCTTAGACAATACTATATGTTCCATGTGGATTGAAGTATATAGACATAGCTTGGTAGCAATACAATTAGAGTCAAAATGGAAATAGAGTTGATTTAAAACAAAGAAAATCCAATCGGAAATTTTTAAGAAAGTTCGATAATTTAAAAAAGCTATATCTAAGGCAATTTTAAATTCATCTCCATAACTTATCTGAATGATTTTTATCGGGCCCCCACCTCAGGCAAAATTTATTCGGTACAATTATGGAATGGGCCCCCGCTGGGTGCCCTTTCAACTTAAATGGACTATAGATATAGTAGTGAATTTAGTTATATAAAATATTGTATTTAAAAAATTATTACTTAGAAAAGACATTTTTTGCCCGTTTCCAGGATGATATTAAATTCAAATTAGAATGTTCCTGAAAGTTCTATATTGTCCTACTGGGATATGTAATGGAATTCAAAAACTTACTGAAATGTCAGTTCAGTTCTATACTTTCATGGTATTTTCTTTAAAGACACCCTTCATATTCCTATCGGGAACAAGATCCTAATGGGACCATGATCCCAATGAGAAAGAGGATCCTAAAGGTAAATGAGTAAAGTGAAACCCAACGGTAACAGTAAAGTGAGGTCCCACCTGAAAAAATTAGAAAATTGATCTCAATTAGATCGGGATACCAATCTGTATCCCAAGCCGGTCGGGATCCTAAGGAGAATGGCATGTCATCGGGAGGTGGGAATCCTATTTCAAAAAATGGATCCCTGAGGGACCGAAAATTGATGAGGATTCCAATAGGAACGGGATCCGATTGGAAAATGAGATTTTACTTGGAAATGGGATACCATCGGGATCTCAATTATGTCGGGATACGATACGTATATGTAATCCCATTTGAAAAAAGGAACCTCATCGGGGTTTGGAAGCCCAACGGGGTCGAGATCCTATTTGGAAACGGAATCCCAATGGTGTCGGATCCAAATTGAATCCCACTTGGAAACGGGGACGCAATCGGAATCGGGATCCCATTGGGATCGGGATCCAAATGAGATATGTAATCCCATTGGGATCGGGATAACACCGGAAACAGAATATCGATGGGATCGCGATCACACCGAAATTGAGTTTCCAGAGGGATTAGGATTCCATCGGGATCGGGATATCAATGGGACCGAGAGGCAGTCACGGGCTTTGCTGAGTAGTTTGTATTGTGTTGTATATATATATATATATATATATATATATATATATATATATATATATATATATATATATATATATATATATATATATATATATATAATATATATATATACATACAGGGCGGCTTAGCAAAAAAGTGAGAGTATCTTGTGACAAAGTTTTGTACAATTGAGTTCATACAATGTTTTGTTATTGACAGTTCAATCTGCCCCCCCCCAACCCCCGACACTCTCCCTGCTTCTCAATGACTTATTGCAAGCGTTGTTGCTTTTCTATGCTTCTGACAACAGAACTATGTTATAATCTTTTTGGGCCACCCGGTACATGAATGTAGGTATATAAACTAATAAATAAAGCATTTGGTCTAGGCCCAGTACGTACACTACAATCACCTCTGAGGATTATCATAAATTCAATCACTTGTATCAACTTAAATTATTGGTAAATCATTTGCTAAAAAGTTTTTACTAACTTTTTTTGCCAGATTTCAGCGCTGTTTGACAGACGAAGCTATTTATTCCTGCACACTACAGTCAAGCAAAGTTACCATTACAACCCTGACAACAGGGGTCACCCAGACGAATATCACAGGGGTTGAAACTATCAAGTCAACCCAACCGACAACATCGACGAGCAGGAAGTCTTGCAACATGTCCTCATACAAGCTCAGCTTCTTTGAATATTATTTCTCAATTCAATGTAGTGTTTCTGATAATCCGTGTGAGAGAGAACTCGCCATTGACTTTGTTAGAGATGAGGCAACGTCTCGGTGTGGGTATGCATGTTGGGACATAAGCGGAAATATCTTGTTCGTGTACAGTGCGGAGATGATATTCTTTAGGTGTGACCCGGGACCTCATTTTACTCTACCTATAGAGTCGAATGGCGATACTGAGATGCAGTTAACTTCTGCAACAGTTCGTGTGGTGACAGACTCCTCACAGTCTGATGTCGCTTCCTCAACGACAACAGTAACGTCAACGAGTAATTCGAGGCCGGTAACAATGGCGAGAACAACTTATGCCTTATCAACAACGACATCAACTTCAATTGTACCAACAACGACATCAACTTCTATTGTACCAACAATGACATCAACTTCAATTGTACCAACAACGACATCAATTTACGTTCTCATCCCACCACCACCCACAACCACTGAGGCGGAAACAGGAGTTACAACAAAAGTAACAATACTACCAACTGCACCACAACCAACTACTACAATCACACAAAACAATACACCACCAGCAGATACGCCTAAACCATCTACAGCAACACCACCAATGCCTACGACCCCGCAACACAACACAACTCCAAGGCCAACCTTCAGCTCTCTAACATCCAACATACCACAACCAATATCTACACGATCACCAACCACCCTAGCAGCATCAACTACCACAACATTCCAACAATTTCCAACAATGTTACCCTCTACTACGTCAGAAGCGTCAATCACTGTTACCTCTAGTTTAAACACTGATGACAACACGAAGGCGCCAACAAATCCATCGAAACTTTCGACAGCAGAACAATCTAGACCCGAGCCAACAGCAACCACATTAATTGTTCCCACAGCAAACAACAACAACACGTCTGAAACGTTTACGCCGACATTGATCCCAAACAGAGAAACCGAAACGTCACATACATCGTCGTCATCCTCTTATACAGCTTCTTCAACCATCAATCAAGTAGCTTACCCATCATCGACCTTGAAAATCGCCCTGGCGGACTCCGATACAAACAACAACTCGATTGTTATCGCACTTTCTGTGATAGTCTCGTTCCTGGCCCTGGCGACAGCGGTCATCTTCTTGTACCTTTTTCTTCAGCGTAGGCGTCAGAAGCGAACCTTGAGAGACAACGAATCGACCCGAGTCCTTCGCGCCGACGATTCTATGGACTTGAACTATTTAAGGACGCAACGGGGAGAAGAATCTCACTACTCGTCCGTCATTGAATATGATCCACCGTGGGGCGGTCAGCGCGGAAACGTCACCCCTGACCTCATATCAAGCTGTGAAGGGAGCTCGTCCAGCGATACTGCAAAAAAGCCGACCGTCCCGGATTCATCAACCATTCCTCGACCATTCGACGAGTACAGCAGGCTTCACCTGCCTAGTATCGTCAAAAACCCAGAAGCAGAAGCAACAAACACGACGCCCGGGGTCGCGGCAATATACGATAACGTCAGACTTCAGGACTTGGAGCCCATCTACAACCTGAGCTCGTTCTCCGATGATTTAAACGACGGCGGTAACCAAACCAGCACCCCCAAGCGAGACGCCGACACCGGGAGGATGTTGAAATTTCACGATGTCAACCCATATTCTGTCGTTGTTCTGGACCCAACATTGTTTAACACGTCGAATCATGGGACGAGTTTTCTAAAGAAATCCAACCCGGGTGAGAGTTCATCAAATAAATTCATTATATTGGATTCAGTGTCGAATGATCGTGACGGAGAGTTAAACCAGAATTCCGGCAAACTCGAATCTAAAAATGTAACCTCAAGAATGTACGTCGCGACTAAAGATTATTCCGACCATTCAGAAATCGAATCTGATTGTCTTTCGGTATCGGCGACCAGTTCATTTAACCTGTACTCGGGTAAGAACGCTGTGGAGAGCCCAAAAGAAGACACGACGTTGCCAGCGAGAACGCCTAATCCTGGCAAGCCACTGAGGTTTGTCTTTCCTGCAGAATTGTTATAGGAGAAGACGCTGTAATCTGGTCATAATATAAATTGATAAACTATTGTAATTGGTACAAGAGCCATGGTGGTCACACCAACAACAAAAAAATGCACATGGTAGTTTAATAGACTGCATTACAGAGGCCTAAAGACCAACAGTAGATGTATAAACCTAAAAAAAATCAACCATCCATCTCCGTAGCGCTACATCTCACATAGGGGTTTGTCATGCGTCACCACGTCCCTCCACTTGGACCTAACTGGTGCTTTTCTTTTCCATGATTGGATCCCCAATGTTTTTCAACATCATCCATGCGTCATAATAAAAGTGATAGAATTTGCCTCAAATGTTTTTCGATAAGTTTATTGGGAATTTATTCTAGGCGCCCAGAAAATGTTTATTTTGTATACAATTTTTTTTTTCTTTAACATTTTTACATAAAGCAAATATGTTTTCATCTATCTCTTAATAAAGCAACATCCGAAGCCATAGTACGTAGTTATTGTTGTATTTATTGTGTTCAGCAGGACGTCAGGGTTATATATATAATATATATATATATATATATATATATATATATATATATATATATATATATATAAATATATATATATATATGTGCATATCCGTATACTATCGAGACAACCTAGTGTCCAATAGGACGACCTACATGGCTAGTTAGTTATATACGTTTCATAGTTAAGAAAAAAATGAAATGAAAACACTATTGGTTTTTTAAGGTAAGTTAAAAAAATAAAATACATTAATAATACATTGCAATTGTATATACATTAAAATGGTAAAATGCACATCATGTGTTTATGTCGTATTAACTGTATGAATAAAATGTATACGAACATATTTATGGACTTTCTAACTTCATATTTTAAGCATTAACTCTAATTTAGTGACCTACTGTGTGTCAGAGATTGATACATATATGTAATGAATTAAAAAGAGCTGATGTGAGAGAGAGAGAGAGAGGAGAGAGAGAGAGAGGGGGTGAGAGAGAGAGAGATAAGAGGGAGGGAAAAAAACTAGACAGAAAGAAAGAAACAGAGAAAGAAATAGAGAAAGAGAAATAGAAAAAGAGATAGGAAAAGGAGAGAGAGAGGGAGTGAGAGAGAGAGAGAGAGAGAGAGAGATAAGAGAAAGGGAAAAAAACTAGACAGAAAGAAAGAAACGGATAAAGAAATAGAGAAAGAGAGATAGAAAAAGAGATAGGAAAAGGAGAGGTAGTGATAGAGAGAGAGAGAGAGAGAGAGAGAGAGAGAGAGAGAGAGAGAGAGAGAGAGAGAAGAGGAAGGGAAAAAAACTAGACAGAAAGAAAGAAACAGAGGAAGAAATAGAGAAAGAGAGATAGAAAACGGAGAGAGAGAAGGAAACAGAGAGAGTGAGAGGGAGATTTAAAAAAGGAAACAAGCTACTGTGTTTTCCTGACATCACCCACATCTTCAGGACTGGTAATCCAATACAGCGCCCTTTCAATTCATGTATCGTTATCAACAAATCTTTATGGATCCTATCAGGGTACCGGATCACATTATATTAAAAAATGTGGGTTTTTTCTTGTTTTTTTTTCGCCGGCAAAGAAAAGACAAGATAATTCTAAAATAAACAGAAAATATGTATTATTTATAGACCACATTTTAAGAATCCTTAAATGAAACCTTGTCATCGCTAAACTACGTAATGAGCAAGCTCCTGCAATGCTATAACTGATGTTATTTTCATCAAAGATCAATTTCATTACGAATACTTTGGCATCAGGGATTGAAGCAATTTTTGTTACTTATAAATCGCCGAAAACCAATAAATGGAAAAGACATTATGGTTGAGTCAGTGGTTTTCAATTTTTTTCCAAGCTGCGTTTCACGGATCATGTCGTTGTTTATATTTCGGACAAAGTATCATAAAAAATTTACCTAATTACTAATCAAAAAGTTATGTAAATTTTTAGACGGATGACACAGTGCAAATTGTAGACCCTCTAAGGAACTGCTGATTGCAAGCCGATGTGACAATGCTAGTGGTAGGCTAAAGCTACAAACTTGATTGTTAACCAATATGGCAGTGTAGACTGTAGGCCAATGTAACAGTGCAGACTGTATGCAAATGTAACAGTAGATAATGTAGGTAACTGTGGCAATGCTGAATGTAGGCCTATGTGACAGAGCAGAATGTAGGTGACAGTGCAGACTGTTGGCTAATTTGACAGTGTAGATTTTAGGCCAATGTGACGGTTCAGATTGTAGGCCAATGTGCCAGTGCAGTTTGTAGGCCAAGGTGACAGTGTAGACTGTAGGTCAATGTGACAATGCATACTGTAGGCAAATGATACAGTATAGACTCTAGCGAATGTGACAGTGGAGACTGTATGCAAATGTGACAGTGTAGACTTAAGCCAATGTGACAGTGGAGACTGTATGCAAATGTGACAATTTAGACTCTAAGCCAATGTGACAGTGGAGACTGTAGGCCAACGTGACTGCGCAACATACAATTTAAGAAGAAGAGGACATTTACTAAACATATTTAAAGAATTAAATTTGACCATTTCATTTTTTTTTTCAACGTAACATCTGTGTGGCTCCATTCTATTATTGTTCCTTATTGTTTGTTTTTTTAACCTGTGTGTTGACCCTTTGGCAAATTGCCGTGGTCCCCAGGGCATCCACGAATATACATTTTTTAAAAAGGAACCACTGGAATAAGTAATCGCATCAACCATACACCCAAAAAATCCCCACTAGTCACAATGCTATGAATACAGTGACAGCAAGAAATTCTTTCAACGGAATTTGAGGTTGAAAATTAAAGGCGTTTTATAACTGAAGTCAGTTTGGCCGAAACTCTACAGAAAGTAGAATTACAAGTTGGTAAAACTGAGGCTTGAGAAAGGATTGACATATTAAGTTAGGTTCATAAGTCAACATAGACCTAGTTAATTATGTCATAATATGTAATTTTTGATTTTGGTTAAAGATTTTTTTTTTAATTTAAAATGGTAAGATCTTTTAACAAATCATGAGTAACACCAAGGGATTACTTTGATCTAGTGGATTACTTCTAATTCCTAAAATAGGAGCCGATATGATCAACGCATTGATCGTTGGCTCTCAAAATATAGAAGAAGAAGAAGATTAGTGCTTACATAACAATTATTTTAGCTAAAACTAAGGAAAGAAAAGTGAAATTAAGAATCCAGTACACAAATCAAAAGGATATATGTTATTCCTCATTAAGAAATTGTTTGCCTAGGGATGCCGACCAAATTATCAGATAACACAAATAGATTTCTACAATAATGAAAAGCACTGTTAAAAATAGGGCAATCAAAAAGAACTTTTTTTCATCGTTGGTCTAAAACATCCACCCACACAACATTTGTATTCCACAGTAACATGTCTCAATTTTTTATGATTTTTGTAATACATTCTATACGCTAAGATTAAAGAATAACTACGCCAATGGCGATCAGAAGTATAAAATTCAGTTTAAACAAAAAAATAACTTCATGTTCAATTTATGGCAAAAGCATTTAAGGGCGATAACAGGGTTATTTTATTTTCACTGAATTGTTTATTCCGTCGTTATAAAATAGAGTTCATTCCAGTTGTCTAACATTTTTTCATGCTTCCTTTTATTACAGATTATTTTATCGAGTTTCTATTAATAAGTAAGTTCCCCTGTTCCCCACACACTCACTTCTCCCACTCGTCTTTCAGGAAGTCTCATTGTTTATTATCTCGTTGAAGGGTTAAGGATCGATCATTCTATGAGTAAATGATGACAAAATGTCCCCCTTCCCTCTCCTCTAGTGTTCTAAGAAAACTGAAATTAGGAAAATCGACAATTTCTGCGATGAAAAATATATATGTTAATTAGGTTTTAAGGGAACATATTGCTTCATTCTTTAACTACAAGCAACTTCTATGTCCAAATTTTAGGAAGGACTTTACAAATATAACTTTAAATGAAACAACCAATTAAAAAAAAGTTCTAAGTATAAAAGCTAGCAAAAAATTTTTTTTTTCATGTCCCTGAAATATATTTAAATTCTATTTTTTCAGAAATACAAAAGAAAGTCTTACACACCAAACGCACTTAAGACACTTCTTTTGTTTAAAAAGAATATCATTAAGAGAAGTTATCCGACATTTTATTTCGTGCAGTCAGTGTCATCATTTTTCCCTCGTTTCCTCTTGAAAAATATGAAAAAAAACTGATTTTTAGGAGTAGGGATGAAAGGTTGAAAGAATAATGTGTTGTCATTAGCAACGAGTCTAAGTGCCAAGTTTTAGCTTGATAGGTTGACGGAACGTAGGTCAATGAGCCGTCCCAAGATTTTTGCTGTCAGCCACGATCAAAAGCGAAGTTAACATATATGATTTAAAAGATTCGGCTTTTTGAGGTTAAAATAAACAATTTAAATAATAAAGGGGTTCATGAGAAGCTGTCAGTTATACCTTTAAAACTAAATAAATGATACATTTCACTTCCTTGGCGATCGTGTGACGTTGCGTATATCCAAGAGAAGATAACCTTCATGCGCCTTCCATGTTTACATTCGCCTGTTCTCATCACTCATGCTATGCTGCGTACAAAGAAGGAGCAACAAAACCGTGTTTTTTTTTTCTCTTTCGTTTCAGGGAAATCGTGCATAGACTGACTTATTTTTTGAATGTGGACCCGGATGGATAACTTTTGAAAAAAAAATCCATGGCTTCCCTGTACATTCCGGCAGCTAGCGTAAGATCAACCACACACATGTGTTACTAAGTACCGACAATCCCGACTTTCCAGAAACAGGTAATAAATGTGTCCTTCTTTCTACGAGAAATTTTCAGAATACTGTTTTTTTTATTTTTTTAATATGTATATATTGTTCAATAAGTTATGGTTCAATGAGTTTGTTTTTTTCTTTCTTGGTGATTTGCTTCGCTGGATGTTTTTGTTTACTTCATGTTTTTGTGCACTTGATATTTTTGCTTTGTTGATGTTTTTGTTTATTTGATATTCTTATTGATTTATGTCAATGAAGGATATCGGCTGTTTAATAAGGTCATCATTTCATTTGAAATTCTCTCGTCTCTTCTCCTCACCTTAAAGAACCACGTTGTTTTTATATAGTTTTATAATAGATTTGACTTAAAGATGGATCAAAATACATTAGCTAAAGTAAATGTAAAGTTTGTGTAAATCCGCCTGTGTGGATTTCGTCAAAAATGTTTCATCCTAATATAATGGACTTTTATTTATATTTATATTTTTTTATTAATACTTTTGTGTGTGCACTGTTATCTGATAGTTGTTACAGGTACTTATAGAATTTTGTTGGACAATTTTTGTAAAAAAAATTTATAGCTGACACCTTATAAATTAATTATGGTTAAACCATTACGAAAATACTAAATGATCATGTACTTATTTATGTAA